ATTGTAAAAGAAAAAGAGAGTAATAGACTCAAGGGTATAGTTAAATAAGTTAGAGGAAAAGATGGAAACTTAAGCTTATGCTCCTCAGAGGTATATGATAGGCTATTGCACCCATAAGGAAAGTAATATCCTTAAATGGAACCCATCATTTAAAAGAGTAAATATGTTAATAAACTATTTTTAAAAATAGAAGAAAACCTTTAGAATGCTCTTCAGATATATAAAAAAAGAAATAATGCCTAATCTCACACAGAGACTTACAAAGCTTTGTAAAATTCTACAACTCCATAAACCAGCACGACTTAGAAGACAAAACCTACCAGTCATAGACCAAACCAAGAAAAATGCCACATCACATCGATATTTTACACGTAAATCGATGAAAAAAAAATCAACAAATTATGTATATCAGGATATAAAAAGGATTAAGTTCATTCCAGGAATAAAAGTTGTTTAATTACTAAAAATATTTTTATTTTGTTAAAAGAATATAGAATAAAAATTAAACAATCACATTCTAGATGCATAAATAGTTTATAAAATTCACTTTATCATTTATGGTTAAAAAAAAAAGTCCTTACTAAACGAGCAATGAATGGAAACTTTCTTAATCTCAACCTTGTGTGTAATTATTTTTTAAAATTTATCTTATTACTGAGTACTATTGTTGTACATCCTTTTTAATATTTTGACAACATAGGATTTCATCCCTCAGGTGTGGTCACAGTATCTCTCTCACCATAGTCCATCATGTCTTTATTATTATTATCATTACTTTAATAATATAATAGTTTAATTTTACATCATTGTGTGCCTTTTTGCATCTCAATTGTAATCCCTGTGGGCTTCCTATCACCAAATCAGCCGTGTGGTGTGCTTCCCTCCCCCCACTGTTTTTGATCCCATTTCCTACTCTACCCCCGTAAAATGCTCAGGTAAATAGTTGTTCATTATTATTATTATTATTTTCTCCCTTGGTCCTTTATACTCCTGCTATGAGTGAAACCATCCGGTATTTTTTTCTTTTTTTTCTGGCTTATTTCACTAAACATGATGTTTTCCAGCTCCATCCATGCTGCTGCAAAAGGCATGTGTTTGCTGAGTAATATTCCATTGTGTATATGTACCACATCTTTTTAATCCAGTCATCTACTTTTGGGCATTTGGATTGTTTCCATGCCTTTCCAATTGTAAATAAAGCAACAATAAACATGGGGGTGCAGGTATCTTTTTGGATCAGTTTTTTTTTTGTCTTTTGGGTAGATACCTAGGAGTGGGATTGCTGGGTCATATGGAAGCTCCATTTTTAGCAGTTTGAGAAATCTCTAAACAGTTTTCATTGTGGTTGTACTAGCTTGTATCCCACCAGAAGTGCAGGAGAGTTCTTTATTATTTTTTTTTTGTTAAAGATTTACTTATTTCTGCATACAGAACTGGGGTACAGGCCAGAGGTGTAGGGGTGGTGAGAGGATTCACCAGAGTCAAAATGGTGAGCGAAACAGGTAGATTGATGAAGTACACTGTTGAGGGGAGCAGTGGGATAGGACAAGGGAGATCTGTCACATCATGTAGGTTAACTCCCTGGCTGGGGATCATCCAACTTGTCCTATTGAAGCAGCTGAGGCTAGCATCCTGCGGTGCTTTCAAGCTTTGTGCCACAAGGGAGGGCCCCATTGTGTCTTTGCAAAAACCCCAAAACAAAACAGGAGTGAGACAAAAACGTGCGTGATCATAAAATATACTTGGAAGTTTACCCTCTTCCTTATTTTTTAAAAAAGCATGATAAAGTTATGTGTCAGTTCATTTTCAAAAGTTTGGTTAAAAAGTCATTAGTAAAATCATCTGGTGCTAGGGTTTTGATTTTGGGGAAACTTTGATTATTATTTCAATGTCCTTTCCTGTACTCATTCTGTTCAGCTTTTCTATTTCTTTGTGATTCAGCCTTGGATGGTTATATTCTATTTTTTTTAAGATTTATTTATTTATGCATACAGGCCAGAGATGTAGGGGCAGTGAGAGGATTCACCAGAGACAGAGTGAGGAGCAGAACAGGCAGATGGTGAAGTACACTGCTGAGGGGAGCAGTGGATGAGACGAGAGAGGCCTGCTCCTTCATGTGGTCACCTCCAGGCTGGGGATCAAACCCATGTTGCAGTGGCTTGCAGTGCTGTGATTTAACTCGCTGTGCCACCAGGGATGGCCAGGTTGTATACTTCTAAAAATGTCACAATTTTAGGTTGTTCAATTTCAGTTTATTTGCATGAAGATGTTAACATTAGTTTCTTAATGATCCCCTGTATTTATGACATGTCTGCTGTAAATTCTCTTTCATTTCCAATTCTATTTCCCCCTTTTTTCCCTAGGTGAGTCTAGCTAGAGATTATTTTAACTTTTCAAAGAATCCTCTTTTGTTTTCATTGATCTTTCGCAATCTTTTTTGATTCTATTTTGTTTATTTCTACTCTAATCTTTATTATTTCCTCCTCCTGGTAGTTTTTTGCTTCACTTGTACTTTTCAGCACTTTAATATGTAGCATCATAAGTATCAAATGCATACATTAAGTCTGATAAATATATAAGACCTCAACATAGAAAATAAGGTATTATTGCTAGAAAATAAGGAAACCAAAGTATATGATGCTGTATATCATTTTCACAAACAAGAATATCAATTTTCCTTAAATGTGTCTATGTTGCAGTAAAAGAAATTGACAAATTGATTTTAAAGTCTGAAAGGAGATATGAAATGTCAAAAATAATAAAACCTCTAAACATTTCAATTTGGGGACATATAAATCTGTCTAATCATTTTTAAAGTTAATGAATTTGAAGTTAATGAAGCAAACATAGGTGTCCTGGTGCCTGGATTCACTGATAGACCCATGTAACAATAAAACCAAAATAGACCCAAATGATAATAATTACCTGATTGATGACAAAGGCAGCTTTATAACCCAAAGGCAAAAGTTGTTTTTCCCCTTTAATAAGTATCATAGGGTCAAATGCAGGTTGATGTGGAAAATGTGAATCATGACCCCTATTTCTCACCATACACAAAAAATCAATTCCAGGTTATTTTAGATCAGCATGTGAGAAACAAAAATTTTAGAAAACAACAGATTTGAATATCTTCAGGGTCTAAGTATAAGAAACTCAAAGAAAAAAATAACCATGAAGGAAAATATTGATAAAATATGATTTGTTTTAAAACAATCATTAAATGACTATAAAAAAGCAAATTAAAGATTATTGTCATACATATAACCTGATGTCTCCTGTGTAAGTTATGTAAAGAGTAAAAAGTCAATTAAAACATGTAATCAATGTAATGGAAAGATGGCAAATGACTTATCAGTCATATAACAAATGACCAGCACTTACATCAAAAAGCCATTCAAAAATCTGAAAAACAAAATATCATTACATACCAGTCAAAATAGCTATTATGAAATAAACTGGCAGTACCAAGTGACGGTAAAGTTTCAGAGGAAGTAGAACTCATACATTGAAGTAATTGTGATATCGGTACAACTGCTTTGGAAAGTGGTTGGATAATAATAGTTTCTAAAACTTAAAGTAATCATAATCAATGACCTTAGATAAAGCAAAACATAGTAGAAATGTGAATATATAAACAAAATATTGTGAACAACTTGATAGTAGCCAAAGCCTGGGGACAAAACCACAAATGTTTGTAAATATTAGAAAGGATAATTTTTTATATATTCATAAAAATATTGGGCTGTTCGAAAAGTCAAAATGTATTTCTGCAGCAAAATAGAAAAATATGTCATTTTTTTTCTAACAACCAAAAAAAGGCTAATTAGAAATTGAAATAAATAGATCACTTCTATAGACTATGACATAGATAAATCTTACACACCTAATTTTGAGACACAGAAGCTAGTCATAAAAGAATGCATCATATTTAGTTTATATTTATGTAAATTTCAAAACCAGGCAAAACTATTAAGGTACTAGAAATCCAGGATAATTATGCCTTATGGGAAAAAGGAGAAAATAATTGAGAATGGGGAAAAGTGGGGCTGCTGAAGCACAGATCGTGTTTTATTTCTTGACTAGTGTAGTGATTATACTTATGTGATCACTGTAAGATAATTCACTAAGCTATAATTTGTCCACTTTTCGGTATGCATATTACACCTAATTTAAAAATTTTAAATAAACACAACTGCATTGCATACTAAAATTTCTCACATCAGCAACCTTGTACCCTAAGAGATGGTATAATTATACCTTCAGATTTCTAAGGAGGAAAAAATAGGACTTAGAATTCTAGGAAATAAAAAGATACATTCATTCATGTAAGGACTCATTAAATTCACCTCTTTATACCATTTTAAAAAGAATCTAGAAGAAATTCAGAGGCCTTAGGTAACAATAGAACTAACCCAGGAGAACAATAAAAAGAAATAAGAAGACAGCTGTGCTTATGGCCTGGAAGCATTTTATATCATCCAACAAGTAGTGTGATAAGAAAAGTGGATGCTTTAAGGAATGTGATAAAATAAAAATTCTTTCTGACAATTAGAAAAAAAAGATGCAATAAAAATTTCCAGGAGGTTGATAAAGTGTATAAGAAAATCTCATTACAAATTTGAAGCAACCTGAAACATCATTGTATTGAACAAGTGGTGAAAAATAATAAAATCCATTTAATCTCGATGTTTGAAATATTCTTCAAGTGACTTAGGCTCAGAGACATTGGGTAGCCTATTTGTGAGTTCAGTACTTATTCCTGCATAATCATCATATTTTGAATATTATTTATACAATCGTGATTTTTAGAACCAAATTATGAATGCAAAGCTTAATTATAGTAAAGGTCAGAATATAAATGTTTACATAACTTAACCTAGTCAAAGCAATTTGGAGTTTGGCAGGTTCTGATACCTGGTGAAGGTGAGTTGAGGGCTGGGAAATCCAAGTGGAAAGACATCTACACACTTTTTTTAAGACTTAATTTTTTTTTTATTTAGGCATACAAGAGCTGTGATAAAGATCAAAGTTGCAGAGTCGAGAAGTTGGAGAGAGACTAGAGACAGAATGGGAAGCACACTAGGCAGATCTGAAAAACACTGCTAAGGGGAGCAACGGGAGAGGTAACTAACGCGGGTTAGTTCTCTGGCCAGGGATGAACTTGTGTTGCAGTGCAATTAACTTAAGTACTGAGGCTTAGCTCTTTCTCCACCAGGGAGGTCTGGATGTCCATACACTTAATTCATTTTTTGATAGATGGTGAGGAATCAAAGAGCTGAAACTTAAAACTGATGAGTTTTAAACAGAAATCTTAGCATATGGTTTAATTTTTTTTAAGCTGTAATCATCCACACAAAAGAGGAGATAAAATAGATGCGAGAGACATAGAGAAAATGAGTTAAATATTTCTTATACCAAGAAAGTCTGAACAGACACTACTCAGTTTTGTTATATCGAGACATAAAGACACAAACACTTGATAATATTTACTATTATTTCCAAAGACCTAAAAGTGGCAAAAATTGTCTAGGAGGAGAATGTGGAAGGGTGAAGGATTAAAACAATGACAAAGTCTTTTCATTTTGAATCTCTTTCTTTCTGTTTTTCTCTCCATATGCTTGTATTTTAAAATAATAACCAACAAGATTTCTCAATTAAGACAAAAATAATTACTAATATAATTGTTTAGAAGAAGCAGTAAACTTTAAATTGTAGTCCATATACTGAATGCATGAATGGAAGTCTCATGTTGCATTAGGTAAGCTCCTTGAGATATAACTAGAAAAGCAAATTTAGTATTTATTTTTATTAATATATATAATATTTGGTTAACAAATACATCTTTGCAGTGATAACAAGTTTCTCCCTACACAAAATTTATTTGATTTGTTTAAATTAATTGTTCACTATTTCATGCTTGCTAAAAATTTCCCAGCTAAAAATACCTACAGCTATTTACATCCACACAATTCTGCACAGTGAATACATTGCAATGATTTTTACATCACATCTGCTTTGAGATACCAATAGTACCCAAAAGGGACTGGATAATTGCACTGGGATTAAAGATTATGTCTTGTCAACTGTAAAATTCATGTGGAAGCAAGGATTTGCCTAGCAATAATCTAGAAAGTCAATGACTATTTCTAAGAACTTTCATATTTTCAGAGATAGTAAGATTTCTTTAGGATATAATCCAAAAAATCCCTTTTGAAGTTCAGGTTGAGGCATTATCTGTGTTTTTTAAAGGATGATCAAATTAAATAAATCTCTAAAAGCAAAATTTAGGTTCACTGTATTTCAAACATCTAGATTAGTTGACTGAGTCTTTTCAAAACCATTTCAAAGATTAAAAAATTACATGAAGGTGCTAAGATCATTCTATGTGAAAGTTTGTCTTTTTAATAATTGGAACAGGGACAAGTGGACATCAACGTGCACAAGATAGAGTTTGTATCCCTTCATACCATATACAGAAAAGTTAATTCAAAATGGATTATACACCTAAATGTAATAGCTATGAGTATTAAATTCTTAGAAGATAATATAGTAGAAAATCTTTGTGATCCTGGCTTAGGCAAAATCTTCTCAGCTATGAGATACCCACCAAAAAGAGATAAGTTAGGCTTCATCAAAAATTTTGTGCTTTAGAGGATACAACTAGAAAGTGAAAAAGGCAGCCTACAAAATGGGCGGTGGGTGGGTGGGTGGGATGCAAACCAGGAATCTAATAAAGTTGCAGTATTCCGAATATATAAATTATTCTTACACCTCAACAAGAGAGCCCAATTAAAAATGGACAAAGGATTGCAATAGACATTTCTCAAATTATGACACAAACGGTCAATAAACATATGAAAAGATGCCCAACATCATTAGCCAACTGGGAAATGTCCATCAAAATCACAATGAGATAACACTTTCTTCACTGGGATGCTTATAATCAAAGAGGCAGATAATGATGTATATTGGTAAGGATGTGGAGAAACTGGAAACCTTGTCAATTGATGCTAGAAATTTAAAATGATACAGTTGATTTGAAGAACAATCTGGCAGCTTTCAACTGCTTAAACAAAGAAGAAAAGAATATTGCTAGTATTCAGAGTTTCAGGTTTCCACTAGGAGTCTTGAAAAGTATCCTCCACAGATAAGATGGGGTAGGTATTATAATTTCTAAAGCACATAATTCACATTCAGAGTGAATTGGGTTGATTTAAATTTATGCCAGTTATGAAACTATCAAGATAACCTAAAGTCAGAACATTTTCATCACCCCTTTAAAAGAAACTTCATACCTGCTTATAGTCATTCCTGACCACCTTCTCTCACTAGCTCCTGGACTACAACTAATTTGTGCTTTTCTACTTGTAGGTATATCACCAAGAGAAATGAAAACATGTCCACACAAAAACTTTAATCGAATACATGTTCAGAGTAGCTTTTATAATGATGCCAGTTAGAAACAACCTACCTGGCCATTAACTAATGAATGAATGAATAAAATGTATCATACCCATTTAAAGTAATATTACTTGGCCATTGAAAAATTGAGCACTGACACATGATTTCACATGGAGGAACTTCATGGAAATTAAGCTAAAGGAAAGAAAGCCAGTCCAAGAAAGCCACATATTGTAATATTTCATTTATATGCAACATCCAGAAAAAGCACAAATTAGTTGTAGTCCAGGAGCTAGTGAGAGAAGGTGATCAGGAATGACTATAAACAAGTATGAAGTTTCTTTTGAAGGGGTGATGAAAATGTTCTGACTGTAGGTTATCTTGATAGTTTCATAACTGACATATATTTAAATCAACTCAATTCACTCTGAATGTGAATTATGTGCTTTAGAAATTATAATACCTACCCCATCTTATCTGTGGAGGATACTTTTCAAGACTCTTAGTGGAAACCTGAGACTCTGAATACTAGCAATATTTTTTTGTTCTATATGTTTACCTATGATAAAGTCTAATTTATATATAAGGTATGATAAGGGATTTATAGTAATACGTAATGCATGTTGTAACGATTGGCTGCAATAGAAGTTATGTAAGTGTGATCTCTCTCTCTCTCTCTCTCTCTCTCTCTCTCTCCAATATCTTATTGTATGTGGTATTTTTGGACTCTGACTAAACCTTAGGTAAGTGCAACAGTAGAAAGCAAAACCTCAGAAAAGGGTATTTCAGATTTTTTTTTACTTCCTGTAGATAAATTACCTAAACCTTAAAATTCCTTACCAAATGAGGGCCCTCCCTGGTGGCACAGTGAGTTGAAGCACAACACTCCAAAAGCTAGCTGCTGCTGCTGCAGCACAAGTTTCCCAGGCCGGGGGGTGACCCACATGGCACAGCAGACCGCTCCTGACCCACCCACTGCTCCCCTCAGCAGTATACTTTGTCAATCTGCCTATTCCACTCCCCACTCTGTCTCTGGTGAATCCTTTCACTGCCCCGAACTTCTGGCCAGTACCCCAGGTCTGCATGCATAAATAAATGAATCTTTAAAAAAATTCATTACCAAATGAAAGTGGGTTAGAAAGATTTCAATATTTAAGACACATTAAGATACATAATTTGGAGTCTGCTTTTTTAGATTGCTAGAGATGAAACTCAAATCTGTTAATTTAATATACATTTCCTGAATACTAAGAGAAGAAAGTATTTGGCAATTTTTCCTTGGTCAAAAACATTGTTATGCTATTCTAAGTATGTCTTATTAAATATTCAATATCTCTGTAGTTCAAGCTCTTATTTAAGGAAAGTATTAAGATGAATTTTGCAGATTAAAAAAATCAGATATATGTGAAAAAATGGAGAATTTTTTGAAGTTCTTTTTTCTCTGAACATATTCATGTGAAAAACACATGCTAATATTTCTTCTTTGTATTTTCATTTAGATTGCCAAAGAAACAGGAAAGGTGTGATATTTTAATCATGTGTTGTTATAATATTCTACGGACATATTTTTTTCTCCTTTAAGTTCTGCATGAAGTCGATTTTCAAGCAGACGCTATGAGAACAAATGAGAGAAACTTTTATCTTGTTTTTCATGAGAAACTTATCAAATGAATTGATAAATATTTCATAAAAATAGATTACAGGGAGGGGATAGGGGCTGAGGACAGAAAATAGAAATCCAAATACTGGTTATTTTTAGAGTTAAATAGGCCGACTTAAACATATGATCAGTTGTCAGTTTAGATCCAAATTGTTTTTATGTTTTTAGATTAACTCCCAATTTATGTTTGCTAATTTACCCCCTCTAATATTGTGAACTTCTCAACTGGAAGTAAGAAATAACTAGTTTCTCACCCAAATTATCACCAAATGACAGAGTACTTAATAATAGTAATAATGTCCACTTGAATCCTGAATTAGGTAAAATGCTCTTATTTGGTCTTCAAAACATTGCAAGCACAGGGACATATTATTTTTTCACTAAGTGCGAGGAAATAGAGCCTCACACATATCCAAGTATTTGATAGATCATTTATGTAAAATTGAATGTGTAGTGAGAACTCACTTGATCCACGTGATCCATGAGTCTCTTACTTCACAACTGTATGGTAAACCTATTCTATTGACTAACAAATACAATGCTTGACTGATGTTTCCACATTCATACTCGTAAATTCACTCAGAACCCTGGACACTGGTATATGAGCAGTTAAAGGTAAGGTTCTTGGGGGTAACTCAATGTTTTCAGTGATTCTAAACACATCCAGTCAGGTACATTACTGCCCACTGACACCCTGTTCATGACCCTGGAGATTGCTTCATGAACACACTGAATATTTTTTTTTATATATCCATTCTCCTGGGTTCTATTCCATCCATACTCTCTGCCCTATGGCCAGTTTCATTTTTTGAAGAAAAATTGCTTTGTTACAAATGAAAACCTATCTGTTCTGCTAACTACCCTATAAACAACCTGCAGAACTGAGAAAACCAAGTCCATTTCATTTTATTTTTAATATTTTTTAATTTATGCATACAAGAACTGGGGTACAGGCTAGAGGTGCTGGGGGTGAGAGGATCCAC